CAGACAGACAGACAGACAGACATATATATATATATACATATTTATTGTGTATGTATACATATAAGTTACATAAATCTAATACGACCCCAACCAGCAGGTTGCGTTTTTTAACTTTAGGGTTTAAGACTTAGATGTTTAACCAAAAAACTAGGAGCCGTGGAGGAAAGCTTCAGCTGGACGCTGCAGAGTCGACAAGCCTTTTTGTGTGAAGTTCCAGTTCTGAGTAGTCGCGCACATCTGGGGGCGCAGAAGCGGGCTGTCCCGTTCCGGGGGGAGAATACATCATGATCCGTGTATACTTGTAAGGGTGGGTAGGGAAAGCATGCCTGTGTACTTGTTTGTAAATGAACTGTTGAATGGGGGGGAGGGAGGGGGGGGGAGGGAGGGGGGAGGGGAGGAGGGGAATCCGAATAGGAACCTCTGACCGCTTCGGCCGGGGCCGAGGCGAATTAGGATCAGGTTTGGGGTATCGGTATTTTGTTTCTAGAAGTAACACGAGGAACCCCCAAAACCTTATTCTAATTATTAAGGCCCTTACATTTTTCTACAGCGGCATCTCCAACCTGTTTCTGGTCGGGGAAAGGGTTTGCAAGGTAATCTAGGTTAGTTTACTTCGGTTGGGGTTTTCCGCCGGTTTGGGGTTGCAGTTTTCGCGATTTTTGGGTGTAGTATTGCCGGCTCAACATGTCGGGATTGGTTTCTGGATATCCGAAGTTAGCGGATCCCCCAATCGACGATGCACTTGGGAAAGGTATCCCGGAACCCATGCCCTCGGGCCTGTCTAGCTTTAGGCTAATTAGGCTCTCCGACTCTCCGACGGTTCCCATATGGGTAGTTCTCTGAATTAGGATCCCTTTTAGGGTCCTTTTTATAAGGGTGCCGTACTATATTGGGAACCTGAAAGAGGCCCTTTCTTAGAGAACTAACCATATGCCCTTTGCTATTTTGGGGGGGTCTCCTTGTTCCTACCGCCTCATAGAGGAACAGCGTGTATGCACTCGGGGTTTAGTCTCTAGTTTAGGGCTCAATTAGGCTACTGGGGTTTGGGAGGTACAGGCCAGAAGGCCCGTATAGACCTTGTTACACTAAACCTTAAACCCCAAACCCCAAACCCTAAACCCTAAACCCCTAAACCCTTGAACCCGTAAACCCTTAAACCCTAAACCCAGATACCATCCCGAGTCACTCTGCCCAGGCATGTTCTGCATGTTCGGCACGTGCCAGAGTCGCCTGGACGAAATGCTTGCAAGGGCGTCAAAGGAGGTTTGGGTATCAGGTTTCAGGGAAACCGCAAGCCCTGCACCCTACAGTGAACCCTAAACTCCTATATAAGCCCTAAACTCCTAAACCCCAAACTCCGACTCCCTAAACCCTAAACCCTAAACCCTAAACCCTCAACCCTAAACCCTAAACCCTAAACCCTAAACCCTAAACCCTAAGCCATGATTATGGGATCTGGGGAGACCCTTGGGCCTTAGAAGCAATCCGAAGGCCGAAGACCCCAAGCTCTAGAGATTTGGCGCCTGGGGTTTGGGGTTTAGGGCTTAGGGCTTAGGGTTTAGGGTTTAGGGCTTAGGGCTCAGGGTCTAGGGTTTGTGACGATTTACCGTCAGGTGTCATGACATGTGCACAGATGCTGTCATGCCGTCCCGTGTGCGAGATCAGCTGAAGAATGTGCAGCTTTGTGTGCAAGATCAGCTGAAGACTGTGCAGCTTGGGAATCGACCGCAGCATCGATGTTCGCATCTGCGCAAACAGCTTTCTGCCTGCTTTGCTTGCTTTTGGTTTTCTTTAGGGTTGCTACCCATATTGGTAGCGGAGCTCATAGCCGATCCTTAGGGTTTAGGCTAGGCTGCTTGCTTTTGCTTTTTCCTTTGTGAGCCACGCGATGGCAAGCGAGCCTCCTGCGGAGACTCAAGGGGCACCTGCGGTGCCAGCAGCGGCGTCAGATGTGGCACCTGGGGCAGGAGATGTGCCTGTTCCTGAGGATCCCTGGGATGAGCAGGATCCGTGGCAAGGGCAAGAAGGAGCTGCCAGCAATCCGATGTCGGGTTCACCTCCCCAGGCTGATGGAGCAGCGAGCTCAGCGTGGAGTGTTATTGGTGGGCCGCCCGGAACGTGGAGCCTGCCGACCGGGCCACCTGTGACCTATGGGCCTGCTTGGCCGTCTTGGAATGCAGCAGCTCAGCCCCAGTCCTATGTGCCACCGAATGTCATGCCCCACCTGCCAGGGGCACCGACCGGTCTACAGCCTGGACTACCTGCAGCCCCCGGCCTTGCTCCTGGGCATGTTCCTCCTCACCTTCCTCTACCACCTCAGGGATTACCTGTTTCGTGGTGGCCGGGAGCTTCGAATGGATGGGGATGGAATGGCCCCCCGGCTCATGCTCTGCCGGTGCCAGCTCCTTTTGGGCAGCAAGGAGCAGCAGCAAATGTGGCGGCCTCCCCTATGTCTCCGGCGAGGTCGCCTCAACGAGCTCAGGCCCAAGATGGTGCAGGACAGCAGGGCCAGACACCTGATGGAGCGAAGGGGGGGACCGACCGGGAGGATGGAAGCGACAATGGCTCCTCTTCGGCGGCTACCTCTGATCTTCGTTCCCTTCTTCGCCGCCGAGCACGTGAGCAAGAACGACCGAAGAGCAGTATAGGCTCAGTGCGGATAGAGGAATTCAGCGGGGACAGGCGCCGATACTTGAAGTGGAAAAGGGCTATCGAAGCGCAAGAGAAGCTCTACCGCCTGGACCCGGGAGAGCTGAGCATGCTCGTGTACTTGTCGGCAAAAGGGGAAGCGCGAGATGTTCTAGACCAGGTGCCGCTGTCGGAGCTTATGGGCCCCGAGGGTGGCATCATGTTGTGGCGGCTCCTCGACGAGTCCTTCGGCGAGAGTGGGGCAGAGCTCTTTGAGAGGGCAGAAAGGGAGCTGAACACGTACAGGCGGCTCCCGGGGCAGCCGATCACAACGTACCTGGCGGCGATGCGGCGGCTCAGGGCGCAGTACACCCGGATCGACCCGGAGATCGTGATATCGGATAGAGCCTGGGCGCAGAGGTTGTTGAGCCGGGCGTCGCTGAGCAAGAGGGAGAGACTGGACGTGTACTACTCGGCGGGTGGCAGCTACACGGCGGCTGGGATCGAGGCAGCACTTCGGCACCGATGTGCCCAGGTGCATGAAGATGAACGTCGTGTGCCGTCGACGCCGAGCTCCTCGCGAAGTCCGTGGTCTTCTTCGGCACCCTCGTCTCGTACCTCAGCCAGCTCCGGGGCTTCTACGGCGTCTCCCCGGAAAAGCTTCTTCGGCAAGGGCAGTGGAAGGAAGCGACAGGGGGCCTATGTGACCGACGGTGCAGACGGGGCCCCCGACGACGAGGACTTTGACCTGGAAGTTCCCGAGGGCGACAATGACGAGCCGGAGGACGAGGACCAGCCGGGCGAGGACAGCCAGGAGGGCGATGAGATTCCCGAGGAGGAGGCGAGCGATGAGGAAGCAACTCCGGATGAAGTTCGGGAAGCCTTTGCGGCAGGATGGAAGGCGAAGGCCAAGACGGCTGGGACGAGGAAGGCAAGAGGATGGTCGCAGCCAAGTGGTGGCCGTGGTCCTGGCAATGGCTCTTCGAGGGCATCCTCTTCTGGAGCGGCCAAGTCCTTAGCCGAAAAGAAGCGGAACACTACGTGCTCAAGTTGCGGCCAAAAGGGGCACTGGCGCGGTGACAGGCAGTGCCCGAATGTGATGGCGGGCCGGGATCCTTTGCACCGCAAGCCCGAGGGTCAGATGCCGAAGGAGGTGAACTTCACGAACTTCACCTTCATGGTTGGTGGCCCCTCTGGCTCAGACGGCCCCCCTGCTCCTGAGGCGCCGGCGGCATTCGTCTCCACTCCGGTGTGCCCAAGCTGCTTTGTGCCTGTGACCTTGGACCAGAAGTTTTGCCGTGAGTGTGGGACCAAGCTGCTTGCCAAGAGGGACTGGGAGTTTGTTGCCCCCAGCCAGGAGGAGCCCCAACAACAGACGAGGCCCATGCGAGACGTTCGGCTTCCCAAGTCTGCCCTGACGAGGACGAGCAAGCCAAACACGCATACTGTGAAGATGCGCCCCCTGGAAGCATTGGCCGCCCTAGACAGCTTGAACAAAGAGGACAAGAAGCACTTGAAGTACCTCCTTGAGCGCGAGGAGGCTGAGGATGACGAGGCCCCCCCGAATGTGCAGGAACAGCGGCCTATTCCTCGGAGTGGCGGTTATGCTCCTGCGGCACCCCCGTCGACTACCCGTACGCCCTGGCCTTCGACGACGGCAGCTTCGTGGGAACCTTTAGTGCCCGATCCTCTGAGGGCCCCAGCCAAGAAAGACGAACGTGGCCGAGACAAAGCCGAAGGCGTGCGAAAACGGGAGCTTGAGGAGTTTCGTGTGGCGCTTTGGCGCCGTTCCTGGACGGGAGCCCGCACTTCCCCTTCCACGGCCTCTCCTATGCCGAACGAGAAGCAGGCCCGCTGCGCGCATCCTTTCGAGCAGCTGGTCTGGGTCTCAAATCAGCACGGGCATTTTGCTCGGTGCAAAAGGTGCGACCTGAAGAATGTGCTGTATTTCTCGGAGAGGCATGGCGCTCTCGTGGCCGAGCCCGCTGCTCATGAGGCCCTGGCCGCAGCACTGCCGGACCGGCCAGTTGGGCAAGTGATCTTGGACAGTGGTTGCAGGACGGCCGTGGCCGGATGGAGGTGGCACCGTGCTTTGCAGGAGGCCTTGACCGAGAAGGGGGTGAAATGGATTGAGGTTCCAGAGCATGAGGTTTTTCAGTTCGGTGCAGGCGGCCCGGAGGTCTCCGAGAAGGCCTTCCTGTACCCCGTGGGCATCTATGGCAACGCCGACGTGATCAGGATGTCTGCGGTGGGCGGACCTGCAGATAATTGCCCGGGCCTGGTGGGCCCTTCTGAGCTCTCGCGCTGGGGCGTTTGTTTCGACTTTGCGGCCAAGTCCCTGGAGGTTTTCGGCGTGAAGCATGCAATGGTGCTTTCCCACACGCGCCACCCGGCATTGAGCATCCTGGACTTCCCGGCCGGCGACCCTTGGACCCAGCCAGGCGTGGAGGAGAAAAGGAAGCTACTTGTGGAAAGCCCCCAGAGCCTGGCTTTTGTTGCGCGTGGTGCCGACCAGGAAGCTAGCTCAGGTGATGAAGGCCAATCCCAGGCAAGCGCTGAGCCGGCGGAGGATCCTCACTATGGGGCGGAGGCTGCTGAGAACGAGAGGAAGCGCAAGGTGGAAAAGTGGCTTCAGCTGTTGGAGAGCGACTTGGGCATCAAGGTCATCGAGGAGCTTCCCCACGACCAGGAGACCGCGTCCGAGGGCACCGCCGGAAGTTCCGACACGGAGCTGCAATGGGCAGAGGGGTCGGAGCCAGAGACAATTTCAAGTCACGAGTTTGGTGTGGATGTGGCCTCCGACAGCGAGGGCGGAAGCACAGGTGCCAGCGAGAAGGAAGATGAGGAGCTGGTCCCCGACCGAATGGGCAAGCCGTGCTTCTTCCACAAGGCTATGAGACAGAAGGTGAAGAGAGCGGCCCAGGATATCAACCATCTGGGGTGCTCTCACAACACGTGCTCTACCACAACCTGCCCTACAGAGTGCTTGCCGGCCCCTGACATGTCACCTTTGAGACGCTCACGAAGGCCCGGTCCCTGGCGGATGTTGGAGATTTACACATGTACCATGTTGGTTGGTCTGGCTGCCTGTGGTCGTGGCTGGGAGGTGGGGGAGCCTATCTCAGCTCCTGGCTATGACCTTTACAATTCCTGTGACCGGTCCTTTGCCAAATCGTACGTCGACTCCTTCGACCCGGACTTTGTGATGGTTTCGTGGCCGAGCACCTTGTGGATGCCAGTGGCCAAGAAGGGCTACGAAGTGGAGGCGATCGAAAATTTGGGACGAAAGCGCTCGAGGATGAGGGCGGTGCTGGCATGGATTCAAGAGGTGGTGCTTCGTCTACGTGGCCGTGGCACCGTGGTTGTTGCCGAGCACCCCGCTCGAAGCAGGGCATGGAGCGAGCCATTGTTGGTGGATGCTTTTGAGGGGGTGCCTACCGGGATTGCCGAGATGTGCGCTCATGGTCTTCGCCGTCCTGATGGTGAGTGGGGAGGAGGCCCTGGGCGCTACTTACGTCGTCCGACCAGAGTGGTGGGGCCTAGGGCTGTTATTGAGGCCGTCTGCAAATGTTGCCCAGGTGACCACCGACATGCTCCTGAACTTGGCGGTGTTATGGTTGATGGTCTTTGGTGCCCCCTAGGTGAGTTCGTGGGTGGTTACACCAAGGAGTTTGCCAGCAAGGTGATGGATGGTGTGGAGAGAAGCCTGCTTCGAACCAGCCGTGCCAAGACTGGAGAAGGCTTCTACGTGACTCCCCGTGTGCCGGAGGAAAGCTTCATGGAGGAGGACGCAGACGTGATCCACAGCATCTATTTCGATGAGAATGACAACGGCAGCCCCATGGAGCTCGAGGCGGCCCCAAGAGGTGCCGGCGAAGGAGAGGAGAACCAGAATCACAACAACCATGACACCGATAACCACGACGAGGAGGACCCCAGCCCGTGGCCAGAAGAGATTGGGCCACCTGACGAGTTTGATGACCAAGCCGAGCAAGAGGAGCTGCTTCGGGATTTAGACCGTATCCCTTTGGAGGACCAGAATCACAACAACCATGGCACCGATAACCACGACGAGGAGGGGGTCCCTAAAACACCTATGTCGGTGAAGGACAAGGATCTCCTAGAGCGAGTCCACATGCTACATCGTCGTCTGGGGCATCCTTCGAACGAGGCTTTGGTGCGCTTGTTGCAGCATGGTGGGGCCAAGGATGATGTGCTTCGTTTGGCAGAAGGTCTGGTGTGTCCCTCTTGCCAGTTGTCCAGGGCTCCAAGACGACCTTTTCCCGCGCGACCGGAGGTGCGAGCCGTTGTTTTCAACACCGCCGTGCATGCTGACCTCAAGTACCTGCGTGACTTTCGTGGCGTTGTGTATGTGGCTCTCTCGGTGATTGATGAGGCGACAAACTATCACCTAGCGAAGTTGCTCAGGAACCGGGAGCCTGCCCACGTTGCTGCCAAGTTCATGTCTATGTGGGTTGGTTTATTTGGGCCACCACAAAGAATTCGGCTTGACCAAGGAGGGGAGTGGGAGACAGACTTTATCCAGCTGCTGGAAGCGCACGCTATTCACTCCGAGTTCGTGGGCTCCCACAGTCCCTGGTCCAATGGCTATGCAGAGCGGCATGGAGCTCTTTTGGGCGTGGCAGTCCAGGCCAATGTCGACGAGAAGCAACTTACCGGACGTGCCCAAATGAAGCTTGGGCTGAGCTGCGCGTGCCAGGCAAAGAACGGCATTATCAGCCGGGGTGGCCACAGCGCGCACTACTTGGTCTTTGGGCGCCAGGCAGCTTACCCGGAGCTACTAGACGATGAGGTCTGGAGCCGAAAGAGCTTGGGCTTTGCACTGAGCATAGAGGGTGAAGTTTCTCGTGCCGCCGAGCTCCGGGCAGCTGCAAAGGTGGCTTTGTTGCGAGGAGACGTTTTAGAAAAGATCCGCCGTGCTTTGCGGCGCGCGCCAGCCGGGGAGAGGCGCCAGTATGCTCCGGGCGAACTCATCTATTTTTGGAGCCCGGCCAAGCCCAAGGACCGACGATATCGACGGGATCTCGGCTCATGGAGGGGGCCAGCTGTTGTCCTGATGCCCGAAGGAGCCGAAAGGTATTTCATTTCCTGGAGGGGCAGATGCTTGCTGGTCTCAGCCCCGAACATAAAAGGGGCGACCGTGGAGGAATGTAACCGCCACGACCTTAGAGCAGAAGGCCTCGACCTCGAGCTTGCCAAGGGCTTCATTGATTGCACCGATGACTCGGCACCACCAGATGAACCCATGGCTCCGTTTTCGGTGGAGGGTGCTGGCCTGACACGGCGGCGGAACCCTCCGGCAGGTTCAAGAAAGATGACGGAAGCTCGAAAAATGATGTCTGGACTCAAGGCCGTGCGAAAAACGTTGAAGGGCCCTCTTGAAAAACGTCGCCGTCGTCTCCTTCTGCCGTCTCGACCAAGACCGCCCGGACCAGTGGAGCCAGAGGCAAGCCAAGCTCCTGAGACACCGAACCAGCCCGTGGGCCCAGAAGGTTTGCAAGAGGCGGGCACATTGTCAGAGCCCACCGGCGAGGATGATGGTTTGTTACCTGATGTACCACAACCTTGGGAGGATGCACCTGCCTCCGTGTTGCCCCCCGAGCCGGCCCCCTACGACTACCTGGACGACGTGCCCTTCTCCATCAGGAAGCGCCTTCGTGACCAGGCTGAGTCTGGAGCTCCAAGTACCAAGAGGGTGAGAACCACCGACTTTGCCAACTACGTGCTCACCGCACTCTCTTCGGAGGAGCTCACCGGCAAGGAGGCAAAGAAGAACGAGTGGCTTCCAAAAGGAGAAGTGCAGCGTCTGGCGGCACTCCTTGACCTGCCGTTGAGCTCCGCCCGCTTACACCGAGCTCCTCGCAAGAAGCTTCAACATCCTGGTCCTCGCCGCAAGAAGCCGCGGGTGACTGTGATGTTTGCCGAGGACCCTTCACAAGCTATGGTGGCGGAAGAGACGGCCGAACAAGTTGAAGCGAGACCTGCGAGGAGGTGTCCTCACCTGTGGAGAGGAGTCAGTCTTCTCTTGAAGGCCTCGGGAACTTCTGGTGCCAGACCTAAGGCCAGAGAGGTGCGACGGATGCTCCTGAAGAAGGGGACTTCCTTTTACGAGGTCGCTTGACGAGGAAACTTGCCAGGCTGCCGAGCGGGACCTGGAGCACCACGTCTTTGTCACGGAGGCCCTGCTCTTGAAGGCGAAGGCAAACGGAAAGGAGCTGGACCCCCGGTTTTTCTCAGAGCAGGAGCACAAGCAGTTCGCGGAATCAGACGCGAAGGAATGGAAGGCCTGGGTGGACAACAAGGTCGTCGAGGAGCTTCCTCCCAACCGTGCTCGTCTGATTCCTCGCTCAAGGATTTTTGCTGTGCCGGCTCGTGTTGTGCGGACGAACAAGAAGCCACCTGGGGAGCCAGGCCTTGCAGCAAAATCCAGGATAGTGCTGCCTGGACACCTAGATCCAGACATTGGCTCTGTGAGAACCGATGCCCCCACCACGCAAATGTCTGCAGTGAGATTCGCAATCACGTTGGGTCTGCGAATGGGATGGACATTTCTGTTATTCGATGTGTCCACCGCGTTTCTCAGCGGGAAGGCAGTGGACCGTGATCTGTATGTCAGACCGCCCAAGGATCTCAGATGCGTGAACGCCTCAGTCCTGTGGAAGATCCTGAAGTCCGCTTACGGATTAAGTGAGGCGCCGAGACTCTGGTACATCCAGGCCAAAGACTTGCTCGGTCGTTGCGGGTTTCATGAAGTACCTTGGGCCCCCGCCACTTTTGTGAAACGACGCCATGGCCACGTCGTCGCCGTCTTGTGCCTCCACGTCGACGACGGCTTCTTGGCGGCGAAGAGTGGCAAGGAGACTGCCGAGATCAAGGGGGACATCGACAAGCTGTTCTCCATCAAGGAGTGGCAGACCATTGATGCCACTCCCCGGTCCTACCTGGGCATGAAGATTTATGTGAAGGAGGGCGTCTTCTACAACGACATGACCGACTATGTCTTGGAGATCAAGCCTCCCTGTGTCCCGGAGGGCCCCGAGGAGACCAAACTAGACGTCAAAGGCCTAAGAGAGTTCCGCCGCATCATTGCCCAGATTCGCTGGCCAGTGCACTTGGTGATGCCCGAGTTTCTTTTCTCTGTGAGTGCTCTGGCCCAGCGGGTGAGTTCGGCAACGACGGCAGACCTCCGAGCTGCGGCTACAACCTTGAGTGAAGTTCAACAAGCAGCTCGTCAAGGCCAGGCTTTGTTACGTTTTTCTGCTCTACGTGGGAAGCTCACCTTGGTGAGCTTCTTTGACGCTTCCCTTGGAAAGGCGTCCGAGCTGGCGGCCCAGAGAGGAGAAGTCCACTTTGTGGCGGAGGAAGCCGTTCTCTCCACCCGCGCCCGGGCCAACGTGTTGGAGTTTGGTTCCAACAAGATTGCTCGAGTTGTTCGTAGCTCTCTGGCGGCCGAGGGGGCAAGCATGGCTGCCTGCACAGACCGCCTTGTCTACAACCTCAAGCTCCTCGACGCGCTGCTCAACGGAGGGCTTGAGGTAGGGCCCAACTGGCGCGACAAGCTCAGCATGCAAGGGCACTTGGTGACAGATGCTCGGAGCCTCTTTGACCATGTGACGGGCTCCAGCTTGCTTGCCACAGAGCGACAAGTGTCTTTGGACATTTTAGAGGTTCGTCAGCTAGTTCAGGGAGGCACCTTGAAGCTGCACTGGGTGCCTACCTGGAGACAGTTTGCGGACGGCTTGACGAAGGCCATGAAGGACGAGCTCTACTTTAAGCTTCGTCGAGAGGGCCAGATCAACGTGGTCCAGACAGCCGAGGATGAACGCGAAGAGCAGTACAGGGCAGGGCTTCGAAAGGCCCAGCGAGAACGCCGCAAGGAGAGGCTGAAAGCCGGCGGTCGTTCCCAACACTCCTTTTTTGGGATGTGACGATTTACCGTCAGGTGTCATGACATGTGCACAGATGCTGTCATGCCGTCCCGTGTGCGAGATCAGCTGAAGAATGTGCAGCTTTGTGTGCAAGATCAGCTGAAGACTGTGCAGCTTGGGAATCGACCGCAGCATCGATGTTCGCATCTGCGCAAACAGCTTTCTGCCTGCTTTGCTTGCTTTTGGTTTTCTTTAGGGTTGCTACCCATAGGGTTTAGGGTTTAGGGCTTAGGGTAGTAGTAGAGTAGCTAACCTTTTTCGGGCTATTAGAATCCCTAAATGATCCCAATATACCTTCAAAGGTTAACCTGTAATTCCCGAGATACTGGGCAAGTAGGGAAGGGATACAGAAATGAGCTGCCTGATGCTATTCCTCAGGTTCCTGATTCATAGCTATAGTAGAATCACCAACACAACAGTATTGCTTAGGGTTCTCTGTTCTCGTTACATATATGGGTAGTTGTCCAAATTAGGGCCCCTTTTGGGGTCCCCAATATAGTACGGCACCCTTAAAAAGAGGACACTAAAAGGGACCCCCAATTCAGAGAGCTGCCCATTAGTACCCTTATTGTACCCCCTATAGAAACCCTTATGGATCCGTTTAAGGACCCCTAAAAGGGACCCCCAATTCAGAGAACTCCCTAAACCCTAAACCCTCAACATTAAACTATGTCCCTTGAGCTCGACACATGGCCCAGATTGCTGGCCCACTGGGGCATTCCCGAGGAGCGCGGTTCAGCGCTCAAGTTTGGGGCTCAGGGTATTTAGGGTTGAGGGTTTAGGGGTCTAAGGTTTAGGGCTCAGGGGCTTAAGCTTCAGGTCTCAGCTGGGAGGAGTGGGGCTTCGAGTTTTCGGGTTCAGATGAACAAGTCTTGTTTGGTGTGGGTTCGGAGGTCTGGAAACGAGGTAGGCTAAACCCTCAGGCCCAAACCCCACACCGCGGGGTTTAGAGGCAGATGCTTCGATTGGGAGCCTACGCATTAAGCACGAGTGCTCTCCCTTAGTTTTTGTCCCTCGCCCTCTGTTCTCCGTCTTCGCTCTATACCCCAAGCCCCAAACTCTAAACTGGCCCCAAACCCTAAAGCAAATCCTAAACCCTAAACCCTAAACCCTAAAACCCTGAAACCCTAAAGCCCTAAGCCCTAAAACCCTGAAGCCCTAAAGCGCTAAACCCCTAAATCCTAAACCCTTAAACGCTGAACCGATGATTGGCACTGGGGCTTGTCGAGAACGAGAGCCTCGATAATTCCAAGGCCCAGAACCTCAGTTCAGGGTGTCGGATAGTAGATAGTATATAGTATATAATGTATAGTGTATAGTATATAATGTATAGTGTATAGTGTATAGTGTATAGTGAATAGTGTATAGTATAGTATAGTATAATATAGTATGTATGAGTCC